TGGGGTGGTAGTGTGTGGTGGCCGGTATGGGAGTGTGGTGGGGGCTGGTTGTGTGTGTTGGTTGTTTGTTGTGGTTGTGTCGCGTGTGGTATATACCGGGCATTAGCGGGATGTCTCATCTGTGTTTTGGTGGTGTGTTTAGTTGTCGGCCTGGTTGGCTTGCGGGTTGGGAGGGCTCGAGGCTGGCTCGTGACGCGGGTGTGATGTCGTCTCGCTGGATATGGGGGTTGGGTTATGGATGGCGGGTTGGGTTGGGTTGTGTGGTGGTTGTTCTGGCGGTTGTTGGTTTGGTGTTTTTTTTGGCTTTGTTGTGTTGGGTGTGAGTGTGGATGTGATATGTTGGTTGGGTGTTTTTTTTAGTGGTCTTGTGTGTTGTGTTGTTCTGTGGTTTGTTGTGTTTTTGTGGTTGTCGGTGTTGGGGTGGAGCTGGCGTGGGGCGTGCTTGTGGGGGTGCTGGGGTTTGGGGGGTCGGTGGGCGTTTGCGTGGTTGTGGATGGTGGGGTGGTGTGGGGGGTGGTTGGGGTGTTGTGTGGTGTGGGTGTGTTTGTTCTGTGTTTGTTCTTTTCTGTTTTTTATGTATTGGTGTTTTTGTTGGGGGCTGTTGCGTGTGGTTCGGGGGTTTGTGTTGTAGTTGTTGGGTTTTTGTGTTGTGTGTGGTTTGTTTTTGTGTTGGTGTCTGGGGCGTGTTGGGTTTTCGCGCGTGGTGTGGTTGTTGGTGGTGGTGGTGTTGTTGTTTTTGTGGGGGCTGTCTTGGTTTTTGGGGGTGGTTGTGTGTGCTGTTTTTGAGGTGTTTGTGTGGGTGGTTGGTGTGTGGGGGTGGGGATTGTGTGGGTGTGTTTGGTTTTTGTTTTTTTTTTTTTTGTTATGTGGGGTTTGGTGTTGCGGGTGGTTGGTGGTGGGTTTGGTGTGTTGGTTTTTTTTTTGTTTTTGTTTTTTTTTCTTTTGTTGTTTTTGTTGTTTTTTGCTTTTCCTTCGCATTTCAGTCGTTTTTTTAGTGGTTTATAATAATTCCTTTCGTGTCTGATACTTTGCTTTTTTCTTGTTGTCTTTCGTTTTTTATACTTATGTCTGTATTTTATATTTTTGGATATTTATTATTATAATTTATATTGCTTGTAGGTTTGGATTTTATATTTGTGGAGTTGTGGTGCGCTTATTTTGGGCTGGCTCGTGGGTTTTTGATTGGTTGGGTGTGGGATTTCTATCGTGTTGGTGTGTTGCCTATAGTAATGTCGCTACTCCTAAATCACTGTCGCACACATAATGTGAATTATTCAATTATCTAACACAGACACTGTAGATTGTGTTTTTTGCTTGCATCAGAATGCTTTTAATAGGCAGTTGATATCCAATCGTGGATTACTATTCACCCACTCGCATAAGAGGTTCAGTAGGTGTCATACACACAAAGCAAATAAAATTTATACACGAGTTGTATCACACAGAAAGCCGAATCTAATTACCTCCATATTCAAGCGCGGTCCTAAACCGGATCAGTAATAAGTGTGGCGATCTAGAATTTTTGCAGCAACTAATATAACGGAAAAAAAGGTTCTATGGCCCTTGTATGAATGCGGTTCGATGTACGTTTCAACTCCTGTGGCTTCGCAATGTCTGATCTTTAGGTTGCCGAGTGAACTCACTCTAAGCTACCGTCTACTGCGGAGATTGGGCTCTGGAGCAGCCCGACCGAGCCGCAGGGGCTCTGGGATTGAGCATATTTTCCTGGTCACTGCATTGGTGTGGCGTTGTTGTTGTGCTCCGTGCAGTTGGAAGCTCCGCCTCCTTGGCGTTCAACAATGTTCACCTGCCACATCGAGCAAACACAGAATGTACAGACTCAGAAATTACACTGACATCGATTTTGGAAAAAATAACACAATAAGGTATGTCAAGCAGGCGCCTCCCTCCCCACATTGGCCAAAGCTACCAAGTATCCTTTCCTAGAACAGCAAAATGTATCAGAGTACTCGCTAACCAGAAAGGCGTATAGCCATCATCATGTATGAATAGGCCTCAAAACATACAGCTGGTCAGAAGAGGCTTCCTTGGGTCCAAGCTTGCCAGAACGGATCCCATGGCCGACATGATCTTTACTCGGATGCCAAGTACACCGTATACAGGAGTAGAAATTTAAGTTTGAACATGGGGAGCCCAACGGCGGACCTCAAAAAGCAGAGCCGCCCAAGCAAAATGAGGGAGTCTGCAGCTCTGAAGTCAAAATTAAAGATCATTAACAATAACGCATGTGACGCTTATTTGTTTTTCATGCGGTTGCACGTGCTGCCAAATTGCTTTGCGGACTTTTACTGAAAAAATACAGAAAATCCGCGAGGCCGTGCTCTGGAACAAACACTTAGGTTAGAATGGTCCAGAATTCTTCAGGGAGTCACACAGGACTCCTGCAATGTCAAATAGCGAGGTTGAGTCCGATTAAGTAACATCAGGATAGTAGTGATGACGCCGGTACTTCCCTTGTACGTTAATTTCGCACCCTGCCTATAACATAAGTGTAAAAACATTTAAAGAATCATACATTATGTTCACCACATATACATCATTGTAGATTATTGGAGATGTAGCCTAAAGCTTGCACCAGTCAAATATCAAACACAACTAAGACTGGCAATGCTTGCATCAGAATGCTACTAAGCAGCTCTATCCATCGAGGATTCATGTAATCCCCTCGCATAAGAGGTGTCAGTTTGTGCATCATCATTCACAACAGCATCAACAGGTTCTCTCTGAATGATCACTACTAGAACTATATATTTAACCAGATGCAGCCACTGACTGCAAATTATAAACTTCGTGAAGAGGATACAAGCAACGGCGACATTTTCTGAGAGACATGTAAATGCACAGGACAGAGGATTTATAGCACACACAAAAAAAGCAGTCGTACATTTACCGTAATAAAGGAATTTTTACCTCACCATACAAGAGCAACAGGCGATTCAAGTAGAGGCAGACATGATTGGAATTTGTCTAATAAAAATTTTTTTACTCACCCTGTCTGAGCAGTACATGTCTAACGGCCATATCGACATAGTCATTGCAGGGGTCGCCACTGTGGATCATGAGTCCATCAACAAACTTCATGGACTTGGCCCTCTGACCTCGGAGCTTGCCCGACACAATTACCTCGCAGCCCTTGGCTCCGCTCTCCATGATGAAGCGTAACACACCATAGCATGCCCTGGTTGCAAACACAACTATTGTAATACAGTAGTACTGTGAGGGGACAAATTGCTCCTTGACACTTTGTAATTTCCAAAACACTAGTATACATAATGCATGTTTCGCTCGACCTCGACTACTGACTATACCTACTACTTTCAATTCGCTGCTTCTTATGGTTGCTAATACTCTAACGCTTTCATGCCATGTAATTTCTTTTGATTAATGTCTACGCCTTTACCTTCTTACAGCCAGTCCGCCAATCAATTTGTATCTAAGAGACTCGCACTGTGCAATAGCACATAGCCCACGTGTCGCCACCTTTTCTGCATACAACTGAAAATAAAATTGAACATGAGTGACAGATACAGTGCACAGATCCATCTAGATACAATAATGTAACCCAACAAGAGTAGGGTAACAAAGCCAACACCGTTTTTGTGTGGAGGCACACTGAGTGATTCACGTGGGGGGGGGGTATGATGTGTTCTTGCAGACTATGTATTTCCAATGTGGTTTTATCCTGAACACTAACAATTTTTGGGATAACTGGTTTCAAGAGCAAATGCATCACGGGATGCCTGAGAAAAGCTCGCCGCAAAGATATATCTGTGACGCGTCATTCGCTCTATTACACTTATTGATATTGTTGCCATTGCTGTTCGTGTCGGGTGTGAATAAAACCCGGACCCGGACCCGGAAAACCTGCATATATAACCGGACTGGAGTAGAATGGGTTAGGGTTAGGGTCCGGGTCCGGGTTTTATTCACACCCGTTCGTGCCCAATGGCACAAAATTGATCAAACTAAATTGAACTACGGATAGAGTTAGAGTTATTGTGACAATGACAATGCTACGATGGTTATTTATGCACAAGGTAACTAACATATGACTAATAAGAAGATAGGACTGGACATCTTCTCTATCCCTGAGCCGTCTACATCTACATCTATATGCTTACGTCGATCTGTCACGCTTGACAATTACTCAACGGTGGTTGTGTACACAGTACAGTCACATGCACTCAGTTATGGTAGTACTCAGATTGAAGTTTTTTTTAGGTAAACCACGTGCAGAATATGCTTACCTCAATCGCATTTTCTGGAAAGTTGAATCGTTTTTGTACAACAGAGGTCAGTTCTCTGATTCTGCGGCCCTTCTCTCCAAGAACATTTTGAGTTCTCGTCGCAAGAATGATGATTTCGGTACGGGTAGGTGTCACTCTGACTTCCACACCACTGTAGCCATCCTCGGCTAGCTCACGAGTCAGGAACTCGTTCAATTCGGCTTTGAATACGCCCTCCGCGACAAACTAAAAACAACCACAACAGCACGACTATAAAATATTGCTACACTGAAAAACGGCAGCCATAACAGCACTTGCAGCATAGCAATGGCAACGCTACAATGGTCAATGAAAATCGAAGAACATCAATACTACACCAACGATGAATAGATATCAAATTGATCGCAATGATCAACAAGAATATCAGCTATGCAGAAACCTTTACATTTGTAAATAAAACTATATATTACAGATATAGTAAGTAATTTACCTTCCGCTTCTTGGAAATCTGCGAGGTCATTTTGGCGATATCGAAAAAGAGGTTGTGTGCCGGAATCGGAAATGTGACGTCAGATAAACACATGAAATATGGCTGCGCCCACGAAATACTTATTTTTACATGTTTTGTTTTGTGTGGTTGTTATTTTGCTTTATACGTATGTCAGTGCTAACACAAATCGCAAAATAGAACAACTATTTAAACAATATATTGCAAAATATAATAAGACCCATGTAGAAGGTAGTAAGGAATACATTTTCAGAATGAATGTGTTTGAGGTAAGTAAACTTAGAACTAAACTGAGTCTGAGTGAGTTACAGTTTTAGTTTTACAATCACTAATATTAATAATACTAATAGTAAATAAGTAATAGCCTAATACTAATAGTACACACACGCCGGGCCAGCGGCCAACATACATGTTACTGTTGTTACAAAGTTGTCATTTAGCATTTGCGTTAAATAGAGAGAGAACGTAAACCGGCTCGCAATGAATCTTTTCTAGCAGTAGAGTTTTTATAGCACCCGTCGTGTGATCTGGGTCGTTCAATCTTGGATCTGTATCGCTCTACTAGTACTACTGCTACTACTAGTACAGTAGTGAGTAGACGTGGTATTTCATGTGTATTGTGTAGAAGTCGGTCAGTATCATTTTAATTCGGTAACACTAACAACAGTTGGCTAAACACGATATACTTTGTTGAACGATATACGAACTGGATTATTTGTTGCATACTTCATCAACTTTTACTAGTTTTATCAATAATGCTATGACTTATAGGCTGTGGCTACGGGTACGGCAGCCGTATGTTAATGTCTCGAGGCTGGAGGTATGGCAGTCCTTTCGCTTTCATACTTAACGAGACAAAGATGGCGGCGGGTGGCGCCAGATTTCGAAATAACCCCTTGGGAAATAAATTCACGATTTGAGAGTTTAGATGAGCTAGAACCCTAACCCTAACCCTAACCCTAACGCCAAAAATGGGCTTCAACGAACGACGGCTGCCGTACCTGCAGCCACTGCGTAACTTATATTCAAGTGTATATTGCACATATTAGTTTTCTTTTTCTGGTTCTCCTACTACTTCTAGTACGTGTTAATATGTACTGGCTTTTCTTTCAGAAAAGCTTGATCCGACATGCAAAGTTAAATTCTAAAACAGTCTCTATAGAAAATGCACAGTTTGGTATTAATAAATTTTCTGACATGACTCCTGAGGAATTTCAAGGTAGGGTATGTGCAGGAAGATATGAGTACTTGAACATATATTCCTTTCAAAAATAATTTATTTGGTCTAGAAGAAACAAGCATTTGTATACACATTATTATTTAAAAAAACCCTATGGAGGGGCACAAGGATGCTCATAGAAGGGGATGGGGAACCATATAGAAATTTAGAGGAAAGGGAATCCATATAGATAAATACCTAAAGATTATTTTCAACTTTCACATTACAGCTATAATGGATCTCATATTCATGTGCCCAGAACATTGTACTTATGTCACTCATTTGTGTTTTTGTTACAGTTAAATTCTTAAAACTGAAACAGGAGCCAGCTGAGCCATTTCAACCTCTAAGCCTTGATCTCTGGCTTGGTAACAAACCAATAGCAACTACTGAACGTACCCAAAAGGTTGATTGGTATGGAAACCCACGGCAAATTTATAGTTTTAATGCACAATTGTTTTCAGTGTAACTATGTATATCATTTTAAGTAATCTATCCCAACTATTATCTGTTATAATAACTATTTTTAGCTCATCTGACGTAGTCAGATGCAGCTTGTAGAATCGCATGATCATCCGTGCATCCGTCCGTCCGTTCGTCAACAGTTGGACACAAATCTTAACCGCTCGACGTACGGTCACGATATTCGGGACGTCGGGGGGGGATCGTGAAAAGGACTCAGGATGACAAATCTTGGGGTCAAGGGTCAAAGGTCAAGATGTATAAACGGAGGGGGAATATTTTCCCCTTATCTTAAGGTATAGGAGGAAATACGGAATTGCGGCACAAATCTTAACGGCTCGACCTATGCTCTTAATATTCGGTGTATAGTGTGATGGGCAGGAAACCCATCACCATTGCGAAATTGGAGGTCACGGGTCAAAGGGCAGTGGGGGAAAGTTCAGATATCAGACATTTTCTGAGGACATGGCCTAATGGACAGAGTGAAAAACTTGGCACTAGATGAGTTTTCTCCCCAATTATATTAGCATGTTCATTTTTCCTCATGATCAGCAAACAAGTACGAATAGTTTACAAACGATTAGATGATGATGACACATGAAAATATTATGAATGAAAACTTGTAAACAGTCCAGAATGCGACTCTACCGCCGACTAGCGGCAAGCACGCCAATTTTCTTTCATGCAATATTCTATGGCATTTCATTACTTTCTTTACCAATAGTACAACTTTTTAAAATTTATGCATAGATATGCTGTGCAAATTTGTGAATTTTCCTTATCAGTTAAATGTTTGTATTTTCTTTGCATTAAAATGTGCTTTATACTATAAATAATAAATGACCAGTTTATCACTGGTACTACCAAAGACCCTATACCATATACGAAAGTATATATGATCTTTAGTATTACTTACGAAATTTCATGCTCAGATCACATCAAAACTATATAGGGAGCATTTTTTAGTTCAAAATATTTTATTTGAAAGGAAACTAACATTTTATCACAGTATTATTGTGTTTCCTTGTTATTGATAATTATCGTTCGTCACTACACTGGTGTTCTATGATGCAACTTTTCTTCGCTCCTCTATTGTCTATGACATCGACACATACCATTTACACGTGTGCACTCTGCATCATATACTAATTTCAGTCTTAGTATATTCATCTTTTCTTCGCTCCTCTATTGTCTATGACATCGACACATACCATTTACACGTGTGCACTCTGCATCATATACTAATTTCAGTCTTAGTATATTCACGACAAAATAACAGCAAATGGGTCAACTCCTTCACTTTATTCTTTAATCTTTTTACCTTACTTCATTATTCTTGGTCATACCCCCGTCACACCGGGGTGGCGTCCTTACTGCGCTGCTACGGCGACGGAAAATGGGCCCAGAGCGCGCTAAGGTTGCTATAAGCGTGGTGGAAACGCCAGACATCGTGGTGTGGTCGCCATGGTCGCCAATGATCACCGAGTCACGGCGTTTGTTTTGAGCATGTTCAAAACAAACGCCAAGGTTCGGCGATCTGACCTGGAACGCGGTGAGAACGCGGTGGGGTCGCGAAGGTCATGAGACAAGCGTCGTAACATCTCCATAAACGTAGTACATGCGCAGTACACGCGTGGCAAAGACGCTGCGAAAATGGTAACATTTTCAACGGCGAATTCATGGATCTGGCTCATCCGATCTGTTTCATGCCGATCTGTCTTGGCCACGGCCACGACCTCGGTCTCTGGTAGCTTGTTTCTTCGGCATCGTGTTTCTACTCAGCAAACGCACAACTATACAGTTAAAATTCCCGAAAATCTGACCAGCTTATATAGTCGCCGTGAGAACGTGGTAGAAACGCCGTGAGGTCGCCGTGCAGTCGCGATACACGTAGAAGACGCGTGGTAAGAACCCCATGAGAGTGGTGAGAGCGCCGCGGGAACGCCGGTGATCGCCGTTGCCAAGACCATAGATCTCAATAGAAACGCCATAAGCACAGAGAGGTCGTGGCGGGCGCGCCGTGAGAACGCGGTATGATCGCACAGGTCGCGGTAAGAGCGCGGTTTTTTTTCAAGTTTGTAATTTGTGGGGACTTTTTCTCGCGTTGTGTTCGCGTTTGCCGGCGACCTTGTACATTTTCTGGTCGCCGTCCGGTGTGACGGGGGTATCATGTAATTCTTATTTGTAAATTTTCTTTTTCTTGCGCCCACTGGAAAACGTCGAGAAATTGTCAAGACAGACAGATCTACGTAACCATATAGATGTATATGTAGACTAAATCATCTGCCTTTGAACTAATCTTGTCGGAGGTCATGCTACAGTGGTTGACCTCGATTACTGGATTAATTGCAGGTTTTTTGCCGCTACCGTGCTATAATTGGAAAATTAGTCCGCAAATGCAGACGTAAACTCGCGCTTTGCTAATCTGAGGGTGCGGGTTTATCGTCTGCAGTCACCCTTGTAAAAATTGTTGCAATTTTTTGTTGTGGGCATTGGATAGGTGAATCTAGTAGCACTGAGGGCGTGACGGGGGTATATCCGACCCCAAAATATCAAGTACAGACCTTCTGTTTGTCAATATCGCTTTCCGAAGACTTTATTTCCGTTTCAGAACTTTGTTTTCATGCAATAATTCAATCCTAGTCAGAGTAACTTCGATATTTTTGGCCATATTGACAGATGTTTTTCGATCGACCAATGAATTCACTTCCGGAGCCTCGGTTCACTCGGAAATAATAATTCAAAATATATAATAGATGGGCGCGGACTACCTACCATTGTTTCCTGTTGAACATCGGGAATAGCCGATGAGTAACCGGAAGTGATTTTCATTGCTTGACAAATGTGAATGAAGAACAGAACATTTTCTTTGGATGTTTATATTTACCATTAGGTAAACAACTTGATATATTCTTATGTTGTGGCTGCTACCAGGTCACCATAGCGTGCATGCACGTATTTAAATGATTCAAGTTCAGATTAAAGATAAGTTACACGCAATATGATTGTATATTATCGGGCGCATATATTACTTATAAGTGCCACCTCCAAACTGGAGGTGGCTTTCCAGTGATTGAAGATAGACGCCGGCCCGCAGCCGCATTACTGGGGTCTGCGTCGGCTCGGACTAGTGCAGAATATGCTTACCTCAATCGCATTTTCTGGAAAGTTGAATCGTTTTTGTACAACAGAGGTCAGTTCTCTGATTCTGCGGCCCTTCTCTCCAATGAACATTTTGAGTTCTCGTCGCAAGAATGATGATTTCGGGTACGCGTAGGTGTCACTCTGACTTCCACACCACTGTAGCCATCCTCGCTAGCTCACGAGTCAGGAACTCGTTCAATTCGGCTTTGAATACGCCCTCCGCGACAAACTAAAAACAACCACAACAGCACGACTATAAAATATTGCGCTACACTGAAAAACGGCAGCCATAACAAGCACTTGCAGCATAGCAATGGCAACGCTACAATGGTCAATGAAAATCGAAGAACATCAATACTACACCAACGCATGAATAGATATAAAATTGATCGCAATGATCAAACAGAATATCAGCTTATGCAGAACCTTTACATTTGTAAATAAAACATATATTTACAGATATAGTAAGTAATTTACCTTCCGCTTCTTGAAATCTGCGCGAGGTCATTTGGCGATATCGAAAACAGAGGTTGTGTGCCGGAATCGAAATGTGAACGTCAGATAAAACACATGAAATATGGCTGCGCCCACGAAATACTTATTTTTACATGTTTTTGTTTTGTGTGGTTGTTATTTTGCTTTATACGTAATGTCAGTGCTAACACAAATCGCAAAAATTAGAACAACTATTTAAAACAATATATTGGCCAAAATATAATAAGACCCATGTAGAAGGTAGTTAAGGAATACATTTCAGAATGAATGTGTTTGAGGTAAGTAACTAAACTGAGTCTGAGTGAGTTACAGTTTTAGTTTTACAATCACTAATATTAATAATACTAATAGTAAATAAGTAATAGCCTAATACTAATTAGTACACACACGCCGGGACAGCGGCCAAATACATGTTTACTGTTGTTACAAAGTTGTCATTAGCATTTGCGTTAAATAGAGAGAGAACGTAAACCGCGCTCGCAATGAATCTTTTCTAGCAGTAGAGTTTTATAGCAGACCCGATCGTGTGATGCTGGGTCGTTCAATCTGGATCATGGAGGGTAGTCTGTATCGCTCTACTAGTACTACTGCTACTATCTAAACAGTAGTGAGTAGACGTGGTATTTCATGTGTATTGTGTAGAAGTCGGTCAGTATCATTTTAATTCGTGGTAACACTAACAACAGTTGGCTAAACACGATATACTTTGTTGAAACGATATACGAACTGGATTATTTGTTGGCATACTTCATCAACTTTTACTAGTTTATCAATAATGCTATGACTTATAGGCTGTGCTACGGGTACGGCAGCCGTATGTTATGTCTCGAGGCTGGAGGTATGGCAGTCCTTCGCTTCATACTTAACGAGACAAAAGATGGCAGGCGTGGCGCGCCAGATTTCGAAATAACCCCTTGGCGAAATAAATTCAGCGATTTGAGAGTTTAGATGAGCTAGAACCCTAACCCTAACCCTAACCCTAACGCCAAAAATGGGCTTCAACGAACGACGGCTGCCGTACCTGCAGCCACTGCGTAACTTATATTCAAGTGTATATTGCACATATTAGTTTTCTTTTTCTGGTTCTCCTACTACTTCTAGTACGTGTTAATATGTACTGGCTTTTCTTTCAGAAAAGCTTGATCCGACATGCAAAGTTTAAATTCTTAAAACAGTCTCTATAGAAAATGCACAGTTTGGTATTAATAAATTTTCTGACATGACTCCTGAGGAATTCAAGGTAGGTATGTGCAGGAAGATATGAGTACTTGAACATATATTCCTTTCAAAAATAATTTATTTGTCTAGAAGAACAAGCATTTGTATACACATTATTATTAAAAAAAACCCTATGGAGGGCACAAGGATGCTCATAGAAGGGGATGGGAACCCATATAGAAATTTAGAGGAAAGGGAATCCATATAGATAAATACCTAAAGATTATTTTCAACTTTCACATTACAGCTATAATGGATCTCATATTCATGTGCCAGAACATTGTACTTATGTCACTCATTTGTGTTTTTGTTACAGTTAAATTCTTAAACTGAAACAGGAGCCAGCTGAGCCATTTCAACCTCTAAGCCTTGATCTCTGGCTTGGTAACAAACAATAGCCAACTACTGAACGTACCCAAAAGGTTGATTGGTATGAAACCCACGGCATAATTTAAAGTTTGTAATGGCCACAATTGTTTTCAGTGTAACTATGTATATCATTTTAAGTAATCTATCCCAACTATTATCTGTTATAATAACTATTTTTAGCTCATCTGACGTAGTCAGATGGCAGCTTGTAGAATCGCATGATCATCCGTGCATCCGTCCGTCCGTTCGTCAACAGTTGGACACAAATCTTAACACTCGGACGTAGCGGTCACGATATTCAGGAGCGTCGGGGGGGGGATCGTGAAAAGGACTCAGGATGACAAATCTTGGGGTCAAGGGTCAAAGGTCAAGATGTATAAACGGAGGGGAATATTTTCCCTTATCTTAAGGTATAGAGGAAATACGGAATTGCCGGCACAAATCTTAACGGCTCGACCTATGCTCTTAATATTCGGTGTATAGTGTGATGGGCAGGAACCATCACCATTGGCGAAATTGGAGTCACGGGTCAAAGGGCAGTGGTGGGAAAGTTCAGATATCAGACATTTTCTGAGGACATGGCCATAATGGACAGAGTGAAAAACTTTTTTGTTTCAGCGCTGACCTATATTTTTTATCACTTTATTGAAAGGACCATGAAATGTGCTTTCCACTGACGTGCGAAGAGTAAGTGTCTGATAACCTTTTTGACCTCAAGAGGAGGGTTAAACATTGATTCCTAAAACTGCCTCAATTGACGTCACAGTGTTTGTCATATTCATGGCACAACCTTCATATAAAAACCCAATAAGCCTGGATAGCTGAACGCCTACAGCACAGGCATCACGGCTCAAAGGTCGTTGGATCGAATCCATGCTGATTTTGTTATTATTTACCTGTTTTCTGTATTTTCTATCTTTATCCATTTAACTATTTTTTCCAATTAACGCAAATATTTACATGATTTATTTACAACAATTTAATAACAACAAATAATTTTTACAACAATTATTTTAATTTTTAATTTTTAATTTTTAATAGGGTTAGGGTTAGGGTTAGGGTCACAATGCACCATAAAACAGGAGTTTCAGGCACGCGATTTGTATCAACCAATGGGATTTTGGAGTGTATGCAGAATGGCAGAAGTTG